TTTCATCGGGTATGAGATGGGCTAAATCATAGTCAGTAGAGGTTTTAATTTTAGATGCAAAAAAGGCTGTTTTCTTCTCCTGCAATGAGCATGTTAACATTCTACCAGGTTTATTGCCCCGATCATGTACTTTCTGAGAGACCATCTGATAGTGTTGTTTAACCATTTGCCGCCCTGCCAATGGCAGTTTGGCGGCGGCAAAAGTGCTTCTGCATTCCGGGTGCACGCCATTTGGCGTGCTCCCGCACATGCTCAGTTCGCGCAACTGCAGAGCGGCGCGCAGCAGCGCGATCTGTCACCGGCCGTGTACCTCGGACATGACCGATGACAGATCCGAGTACCGGCTCCCGTTGCTGGTACCATGTGACCTGCTGTGACCAATCACAGCAGGTCACATGACAGTTGTATACAATGGATGGCTTCATTCATGCCATCCATTGTATACTAGTGCGTAGCTGTGAATGGTCACAGCAGGTCACATGCACATGTCATGTGATTAGCTGTGACCAAATCACAGCTAAGCACAAAAAAAAAAAAAACTGAATGAATCGATTTCATTCTGGTAAATGCTTGCTTATAGCAAAGTAATTCTTTGCTATAAGCAAATTGTGTAAAAAAAAAAAAAAAGAAAAAAAAATACTGATCACTTCCCCAAAGTAGTACAATGTTACTATGGTAACATTGTACTACTTTGGTCATAGTAAAATATGAAAATAAATCTTAAAAAAATGTAATGAAAAATTAAAAATAATAAAAAAATAAAAAAAAATATGTATATTTATTTTTCATACTGTCACCAGTCAGTGTCCCTGTTCACCGCCATGCCAGTTATATGATGACGCTGTACTGCACTGGTGACAGTATGTAAAAAAGAAAATTGTGAAAATAATTTTTTTAATTTTCTGAAAAATTATAACAAAAAAAATACAACTTCAAAAACTCGCCATGCCTCTTATGAAGTACGTCGGACTGTCTACTCTGCAAAAAGGGGTCATTTGGGGATATCTGTACTATTCTGACATTCTTGGACCTCAAGAAATTAGATTGGCCGTCAGTACTTCCGGATTGATCAATATTCAGATCTATACCATAGTTTGTGAACTCTATAACTTTCCTACAAACTAAATAATACATCCTACTTTGGGTTATTTTCACCAAAGACATGTAGAATACATCTCGGCCTAAATTTATGAAGAACAATTATTTATTTGTAAACTTTTATAACAGAAACAGAAAAACGTGTTTTTTTTTCAAAATTTTTGGTCTTTTTTTTGTTAATTTAGCAAAAAATAAAAACCCCAGCGGTGATTAAATACCACCAAAAGAAAGCTCTAGTTGTGTGAAGAAAATGATAAAATTTTAGTTTGGGTACAATGTTGTATGACCGTGCAATTGTCATTCAAAGTGTGAGAGCGCTGAAACGTGAAAACTGGCCTGGGCAGGAAGGTGTAAAATTGCCCCGGTATTGAAATGGTTAAGATCTACAGTGGATATAAAAAGTCTACACACCCCTGTTAAAATGTCAGGTTTCTGTGATGTAAAAAATGAGACAAAGATAAATCATTTCAGAACTTTTTCCACCTTTTTAATGTGACCTATAAACTGTACAACTCAAGTGTGCACCAAACTGAAATCTTTTAGGAGAGGGGGGGGGGGGGGGTGCAAAAATAAAAAACTAAAATAATGTGGTTGTATAAGTGTGCACACCCTCTTATAACTGAGGATATAGCTGTGTTCAGAATTAAGCAATCACATTCAAAATCATGTTAAATAGGAGTGAGTACACACCTGCCATCGTTTAAAGTGCCTCTGATTAACTCCAAATAAACATCAGCTATTCTAGTAGGTCTTTCCTGACATTTTTGCATCCTACAACAAAAGCCATGGTCTGCATAGAGCGACCAAAGCATCAGATAGATCTCATTGTTAAAAGGTGTTAAAATCAGGACAAGGGTACAAAAGAATTTCCAAGGCATTAGATATACCATGGAACACAGTGAAGATAGTCGTCATCAAGCTGAGAAAATATGGTGCAACAGTGACATTAGCAAGAACTGGACGTTCCTCCAAAATTTTTGAAAATACGAGAAGAAAACTGGTCTGGGAGGCTGCCAAGAGGCCTACAGTAACATTAAAATAGATGTAGTAATATCTGGCAAGTACTGGCTGTGTGGTACATGTGACAACAAACTCCCGTGGGGTAGAGTGGCAAGGTGAAAGCCTTTTACGAAGAAAAACATGACAGCCTGGCTAAATTGTGCAAAAACACTTCTGAAATCTCCCAAAAGCATGTGGGAAAACGTGTTATGGTCTGATGTAAGCAAGGTTGAACTTTTTGGCCATAATTTCAAAAGATATGTTTGGCACAAAAACAACACTGCACATCACCAAAAGAACACCATACCCACAGTGAAGCATGGTGATGACAGCATCATGATTTAGGGCTGTTTTTCTTCAGCTGGAATTGGAGCCTTAGTCAAGGTAGAGGGAATTATGAACAGTTCCAAATACCAGTTAATATTGCCACAAAACCTTTAGGCTTCTGCTAGAAAGCTGAAGTTAATTTGAGTAAAATTCAAAATACTAACCACAGCTTACAAAGCCATCCACAACACTGCCCCTAGCTACATCACCGACCTCATCCACAGATATCGGCCAAATCGCCCACTCCGCTCCTCCCAAGATATATTCCTCTCTAGCTCCCTCATCACCTCCTCCCACGCTCGCCTCCCGGACTTCTCCAGAGCCTCTTCCATGCTCTGGGACTCCCTACCACAGCATGTCCGGTCAGCCCCCACCCTGTCTGCCTTTAGGCGATCTTTGAAAACTCACTTCTTCAGGGATGCCTACCCCACCTCCACCTAAGAACTGTACTTGAATCACCTGCACCAGATCATCCCCCGCAGCTATCACCTTTTTTATCATCTCCCCCTTCCTTTAGATTGTAAGCTCCACGAGCAGGGCCCTCCTATTCCTTCTGTACTGAAATGTATTGTAATTGTACTTTCTCCCTTTATATTGTAAAGTGCTGTGCAAACTGTTTGCAAGGAAAAGTGGGCAAATATTGCCAAATCAAGATGTGTCATGCTGATAGACTCATACCCAAAATGTCTGAGTGATGTAATAAAATCAAAAGGTGCTTCAACAAAGTATTAGTTTTAAGGGTATGCACACTTATGCAACCATATTATTTTAGTTTTTTTATTTTTACTTCCCTCTACTTTCAGTTTGTTGTTCAACTGAGTTGTACAGTTTATAGATTACATTAAAGGTGGAAAAAGTTCTGAAATTTTTTTCTTTGTCTATTTTTTTTTTTTGCGTCAGACACCTGACATTTTAACAGGGGTGTGTAGACTTTTTTATATCCACTGTACATTCAATAGGGACTTAGTGTTACTAAACCCACAATGGTAAAATCAGTCTGTATATGCAGTAAAGCATGCTTGTTATACTCACTGTATAACCTAGGTGGCTATACCTCTGCATTGTCATCTCTGATCCTCCCCTTCTACTGTCCCCAATCCATCTGCTGATAGAACAGAGCTGCAAGCTGCACATGCTCAGTTTGTTGTGTATTGCTAGAGATTTTTTTTTTTTCTTGGGAGAGTGCATGTGTTCAGCACAGGGCCAATCAGTGTGTCTCGGTCCAAATATAGGGTCAGGGGTTATGCAGCCTCATAGGACAATCAGGGCAGAATGAAAACTTCTCTTTTTAGGTCTCTGATCAATGATCAGATTTTAGGACTGTTTTCTTTTCGGCAGTCTGAGCCGAAGAAGGAAGCTAGGGACCTCTGGTGCGTGGAAGCGGCATGTGGGGAGGATGATCTACTCTGCCTTGAGGATCTGACCTGCACTGTATGCGCGATCAGAAATAGTTTGATGGAGCCAGATGAGGGTACGTTCAAAGCCAGGTGTCTCCCGGAGTGTTTCCCCACTGTGGACCGAGAGCTGGATGAGCGTATTGGAATATTAGGGCAGTAGTAGGCTGATCCTCGGTCGGAGCTCTGCTTGGATGCGGCTGCTTAGCGCCATGCGGAAAACCACGTCCCACACATTTTTCTGAATGAAATCCTTTTATTCAGTGTGTACTATTGTGATGGGCTGTGATTGGCTCTGTCATGTACCACTTTGACCAATCACAGAGATCAAATCAATCGTACCCAATGAATGGTATGAATGGAAGTGTGTACAGTTGTACTGTGATCTGCTGTGATTGGTCATAGCAATCACATGGAACCGGCAGCAGCCTGGTACACTGATCTGTCATCCACTGTGTCTGATGGACATAGTGGATGACAGATTGTGCCGCAGCACAGCCTGATCTTGGGGGGGGGGGGGCATCATATGACATTCACCCAAGATAGAAGAACTCTTGTTCGGCTTTCATATTACAATAGGCTTGGCGGGAGGTGGTTAAAGAAAAACCAGGGAACATTTTTAGGCTTGGCCTCTGGGTATGTAGTGGGGTCTCCTTACAAAGAATGTGTGTTGCAGTAAATCTGTTTACCCATTTATTGGCTGACCGTAGGATAAGATGTACTGGGGTCATCTCTTATTGTCAATGCATGTTACATGTGTTGGTGTAATGCAGTTCTGTTTTATTTTGAATGACATCCCACATGTGATGCTCTCTGCTAAAAAATTTGTCCATGCACTTTTTTGTGACATCTGTCAGAAAGTGCTTTTGAAGTGCCACTTAAAATGTCACATGTTCCGGTAAAGCATCGTGTCAGGAAGGCTGTATGGGAGGAGGGGTGCTGTGTGGTAAGCTGTATGGGGCCCATGATTTCCAATAATTGCCTTGCCCATAGTAATCATGTATTATGAACAGCAGTATGAGAGGTGAGATTTGGATCATGTTTTGGAATCTATTAATGCATGATTCTTTGGACCACAAACATGCAGTCTTAAAAACATAAGGGAAGAGGAGAGCTGCTGTGCAAAATGATGGCAGGGTGAAAACTGGAGGCTTGCCACAGGTTGATTGTGTCCTCTGAATATTGGTTAATTGACATCTTTATAATTATGTGCACTATTTTATTTAAGAAAACGTATACCACTTGTTAGGTTATAGGTGTTGCTTATAGTTTATGTATCCATGTCTTTACAGATTTTTATGCCATGGTGAATAATTACTGGATTTTAAATGCCAAGAAACTCCAAAATGTAACAGTACTTTCTGTTGCGGGTGGATTTCGGGACTTCCAAGTTCGTTCTGGATTGACCTTTTTACCAGCTTCAGAGCTCTACACCAGTGCCTTATCTGTAGTGGTACTGTACTATTTTTTTCCTGCTTTGACAAAATGTGTATATTGATGATGTATTCAGACATTAAGCCAAACCATTTCCAGTTTTTGGCAACGAGTTTCTACTCCTATTACATTTTTCCCTCTGTACGGGCTGCCTTGGCTGACTTCTAAAAGTTCTGTTTGCCAGGCTCTCATTTTGATGTAATGACTAACTTTTAAAAAAAAATCTCCAACCTTGTAGAAAGCATACAGATCAGCAGTTCTTACTTGACTGGGTGCGTTTTTTGTCCCGGATTAGTGAGTTGAGGCAGTCAGGCAGCTAGTTTTGAGGTCTGAAGACACATTTCCTTTAAAGTGCACAATAACTGTCATGCTGGGATGAGCAAATGTTTTTGTACCTTAGTTAAGCCTCTGTTATTGGGTTTAGTCAAATTTTTATAAATTTAAAGTAAACTCTGGCAACTCAAGTTTGCATTCCAAAAGGTTACCATTGGTGAAAATCGCACATCAGAAATTTCAGAAATAAAAACTGTGGGAAGTTATGTCATGCCATTTATTCAGGAATGCTGATTTACTCCTATATTCCTGTATCAATTACTTTTGTTTTCATCACACAATTAATAGGGTAAACAATTATGACTGTGTTACCTGCTGGTGTGTAGATTTTGGAGATTAAAGTCTTTTCCTGCAGAATTTATGTCCATCCTCGTGTCACCTTTATTGTGTAATAAATGTATCTACATCTGTATTGTGTTAACCATTTTAAAGGGATGCTCCTCAACCTTTGGATGGGGACCAGTCATGTAGATTGTGCCTGATACATACCGAAAATGATCTATTTTTAATTTTACAGAGTACTTCAGTTCCAAGAACATGGGCATCAACAGATCATCTATCCATAGTTTGGTGAGTCATTGTAAACCATATGTAAAATGATTAAATACTTATCGGTAATTTTTATTCTTCATTTATTATTGGACTAATAGGTACTGGGGTCTGTTTCACTAAAGCTGGAGAGTGCAAAATCAGCCTCACTCCTGCATAGAAACCAATCAGCTTCCAGGTTTTATTTTAACAAGCTGAGGTTAGTAACTGATTGGTTTCTATACAGAAGGGAGCCTGATTTTGCGCACACCAGCTTTAGTAAACCCCACAGCATTCTAGAAGCTGTCACAAATAAAGGCAGACAAAGGGAAAAGGATTAGTCATCAGCATTGCCTGTGGTCTTCTTGCAACTGGTCTTTTCCCAGTTATTGACTTACCATACCATGTTCTGCATGGTTTTCTTGTGTGAAAGTGGCCATCTTGATAGAGCCAGGGCTTTGCTTCCTCATATCAGAGCCTTCAGCTGGTAAAATGGTGAGCAGCACATTAGTGACATCAGCAAATCCCCTGAGACTAGCAGTCAGAGGCAACAGTGAAATTTTACAGATATACAACTATGAGCCTTGTAGGCACACTTAGTGTTGATCCACACGTGCGGTGCAGATTGAAGCTCATGTTTCACAGCTAATTGACACAGTAGCTGTTTACCGGTTCAGGTGAGGCTTACATCAGGTTCAGGACAGGATCAGCTCAGGATTTTATCCTGTTCACACGTCCAGGTTGAAAAACCGTTCCCAAAAAAGTCAATAGCCTGTAATCCGCACCTGAACAGGACCGCACTGCTCAGAAATTGTACATGACTCTTCTCCTTTTTTTTTTTTTTTTTTTTTTTTTGTAATCTGTATCTGTAATTCAAAATGCTATCCACAACACTGCCCCTAGCTGCTTCACCAACCTCATCCGCAGATATTGTCCAAATTGGCAGCTCCTCCCAGGACATCTTGCTCTCTAGCTCCCTCGTCACCTCCTCCGACACTCACCTCCAGGACTTCTCCAGAGCCTCTCCCATCCTCTGGAACTCCCTACCCCAGTATGTCTGGTCAGCCCCCACCCTGTCTGCCTTTAGGCGATCTTTGAAAATTCACTTATTCAGGGAAGCCTACTCCACCTCCACCTAAGAACTGTACTTGAGTCACTTCCATCAGATCATCCCCTCCAGCTATCGCCTTTTGTACCGCCTCCCCCTTCCTTTAGATTGTAAGCTCCACGAACAGGGCCCTCCTATTTTTTCTGTACTGAAATGTAATTGTACTGTCTTCCTTATATTGTAAAGAGCTGTGCAAATAGTTGGCGCTATATAAATCCTTTATTATAATAACTAGAAAATCTACAATTTCTGGGAAAATTGTGTGAAGTGTTCTTGCCT